TGAACCCTAATACAAGAGAACACCAGTTTGTCAAACATACGTTATTTGAGGATGCATATCCGTTAATCTCAGGCGGCTGACATTGTCAAAGACAGCCACACTGGCAAGAGCTAAAAACACACTAGGCAAAGAGGAAGGAGGGATCATGCAAGAGCTGAGATACCAGCACCACCCAAGGCCAAAGCCCCCAAATTCCTGCCTCTCAATTCCTTCCAAACCAAAAGTCTCTAACACCCGTTTCAAAGCACACACTGAATCAATTTTTAAAAAGGGTAGCAAGGAGAACCCTGGGAATTACCAACCCATCAGCCTCACCTCTGTACCTGGGAAGATCATGAAGCAGATCCTCCAAGAAGCTGTGCTAAGGCACAGGGAGGACAGGCAGGTGATTCAAGACAGCCAGCATGGCTTCACCAAGGGAAAGGCCTCCCTGCCCAACCTAGTGGCCTTCTATGATGGAGTGACCATATCGGTGGACAAGGGAAGAGCTATGGATGTCATCTATCCAGACTTCTGTAAGGTCTTTGACATGGTCTCCCACAACATAACTCTCTAAATTGGAGAGATACAGATTTGGAGGTACTTGGGGGTACTGGTGGAGGAAAAGCTGGACATGAGCCAGCAATGTGCACTCGCAGCCCAGAAGGTCAACCATCTCCTGGGCTGCATCCAAAGCAGTGTGGCCAGCAGGTCAAGGGAGGTGATGCTGCCCCTCTATTCTGCTCTGGGGAGACCCCAGCTGGAGTCCTGCATCCAGTTCTGGAGCCCTCAGCACAGGAAAGACATGGACCTGTTGGAGCGGGTCCAGAGGAGGGCCACAAAAATAATCAGAAGGATGGAACACCTCTCATATGAGGACAGGCTGACAGAGTTGGGGTTGTTCAGCCTGGAGAAGAGAAAGCTCCAGGGAGACCTTACTGCAGCCTTCCAGTACTTAAAGGGGGCTTCACAAAAAAGATGGAGACAGACTTTTTAGCAGGGCCTGTTGCAGTAGGACAGAGAGTAACGGTTTTAAACTAAAAGAGGGGAGATTTAGACTGAATACAAGGAAGAATCATTTCACAATGAGGCTGGTGAAACAGGGGCACAGGTTTCCCAGAGAGGTGGTAGATGCCCCATCCCTGGAAACAGGCTGGACAGGGCTCCAAGGAACCTGATCTAGTGGAAGATGTCCCTGCTCATTGCAGGGGCTTAGACTAGATGATCTTTAAAGGTCCCTTCCAACCCAAACTATTCTGTGGTTCTATGATTTCCACTGCTGTTGACAAGAGGAGCTGCAAACCTGAAAAGACTTTTCATCCACCTGGCAGAGGATCCATTAGATACTTTTAAGAGCAGGGTAAGAGCAAGACTGTCTTCTGAAAAGACGTCTCAGTTGTCTACACTAGTTTCACAGAGGCCTCTGTGAATATTTATGGGTCAAAGTAGAGCACATGCAAGTCTTTGCAGCACGAGGGCCAGTATTTGCAATTCAGGATACCCACATTGCTTTGCTGCTATGGACATTACAGAGTGAAGTCCTAAAAGGTTTTTTTAAACAACCACCAAACAAAAAAGCATGTTACAATATCAGAACTTCTAAGTTGTCAGTCTTCATGTTTATGCACTCAGTCTTCAACAGGAGGGCCATCATTCAAAAATTGGCCATTTTGGAGATTATGCAATTTATCTGTGAGTTTTCCCCCTCAAAGTTCACAGGAGCTGGACACATGATGAAGTAATTATGATGCATATCCTCTGAGATCAGCCTCAATTTCTGTTTTACCATTTGACTCAAATCCAGATGTAAGCCAATATGGAAAATACAAAATTATGGAAATAAAATTCTTATTTCTTCCATTTCCAAGCCCATTTACGTTATTGAACACTGTTACCTGAGATTAGGAAAGAAACGGAAATCAAGAGGACTACTGTAGCAGCAATGGTATTTTCTACATATATTTAATATGAACTTGCCATCAAAATACGTTTTAAAAAAAGCTTAAAATAAAAACCTCTCTCTCCATTCTGGTTTATTTCAGACTAACACTATTTCAGATCTAGTGACTTTTAAAGTTTCCTGTGTATGGTTTGGTTTTCCTATTTACACGTTTAACAAACTTAGATGTGTAGAAAAGTAATTTTTATATCCCCCAACTTGGCTTTAAAAAAAAAAACAACCCTGAAAAACACAGAGAAAGGCTGAGATGCTGAACAATTCCTTGAATTACATAACTGATTTCTTCCAGACAAAGGGTTTCACTTTGCTATCCTGACTATTCGTTTCTGCGATCTCACAACGCAGGAAACATCTGCTGAAAAGATTCTTTCAAAAAAAAAAAAAAAACCACACAGAAGAGTCACTCCCCAGGTACACTGTTTACTGTAAACAGTTAAAAGATTTCAGTGGTAATATTGCTTGCTCTTTAACGAGAAACTATTTTATTTACCCAGAACAATTTTTATACACTACTGATTTCCAGAAATTAGTAATACCACATAACCTCTCCTATTTACAACTTCAAGGTAAAACCATGCAGAAGGCATTTGCTCATTTTAGACCCAACAAAGAACCAGAGAAAATACTCTTCACCCCAGCACATTTACAAGGAATGTTTTGCATCTATAGGACTTCAGGAAGTGACTCACTTTCGTCCTAGGAAGGGTTAAGTTTTATTTGGGGTTTACAACATGGCAGTGCTCTAATGCAAATCCCCTAGGAGGAGAGACAATAAACAGGCATTGATAAGAGAGAACAGAAGGAAGACTCCACCAAACATTTGGTTGTGATGCTTCTAGTCTACAGTCCAAGACCTTGAAAAGTTCAGGTTTGAAGGGAAATATTCTGACATACAGCAGCCAGTTCAGAATAAACTATCTACAGGATCAACAGTGGACAACATTCATTCAGAGAACTTCAGTTTAAGCAGCCAAGGATGTCACAGAGCTGCTTCGTTTCCCTCACAGGGAGCCCATACTGTTCTACAACACTTAGTAGTTTCTCAGAAAACTTTTCTTTTAAAGGCAAGTCATCTTACATCAAAATAAATTTTCTTCGAACTATAAAAAAGAAAAAAAGAAGCACCCTTTCCACCTGATCCATGATATAATTTATCTGTTGCACTGGAGATACATACATTACAAAAAGAGACAGAAACATTAAGAATAGAATCCAAGAAACATTTCTTTTTCCTATTCTCCAACTCAAAAAGCAGTTCATATTCAAACAATAGGTTAAAAAGAAATCATTGCCATCCTTACAAGAAGACATGGCACAAAAATCTTCATCCTGAAAAAGGTCAAGTTTGGAAAAGAAATAACCAAGTAAGCACTGTAGAGCAGAAGGTAGTTTATATAGCCCAACCCTAACTTCATCATAAGAAACCATCCTCCCAGCAGGCACTGGTAGGACTTTTTAATAAACAGAAGCAAAGAAAAGAATAGCAGATTTGGGTGGATGGGTATAAAAAGGACACAGGGATTTTGTTTTATAGTCTTTATTAGACAACAGGTTCCCTTGTTCCTTGCTCTACACCTAGGCAGTGCACCAAGTCTTTACAGAAAGAGGAAGATTTCACCTTTTGGAACTACCATGGGACAACAGGGCATTGGTGACACACTTAGGGGAAAAAAAAAAAAAGGCAGTTCTACAAATTATGTCTTCCAAGTACCTGACACGGAGTACAACCAACACAAGCCTGAGACATTTAATTCCTGACTCAATAGAAAATCACAATGTCATTTGAGTGAGTCTTTGAGTCAGCTTTTTACTGCAAAGATGGAAGAGAACAATTCAGATAAATAGACTTTCATCTAGCCTGCCCCAAATGGATTACTTCAGAGAGAAAAAGACTGTATCTTTAGAAAGTAGCATACATGTAAACTAATCAGAACTGTGAGGGAGACACCAAAAGCTTCTCCTCTTTTGAAATGCAGTCAGCATCTCCCCTGTGGGGCTGATGAACATACAAAGTTAAAAGAAACAGAAGAACATAATTAGCTTGTCTTTCATTAATATCCAGTAGGGTCACTGTCAATCTGACCAATACTATATAAAATTTCCTCCAAAGGTTGTGCCTAGGAGTCTAGGTTTTGCCTGTGACTTCCTCCCGCCCCCTCTTACACAATTGCATAATTAGATTTTTCAAAAATATCAACAAAACCTTTCACCCCTCCCATGCAGGTAGCTGTGTCAGCTTTAGAACATACGTTCTCTTTGCAAACATTCCAACATCTTGTGATGGATACTCTGACAAGTGCTGACACTGCTATGAAAACAATGCTTGGCTACTAGATTTTGTGACAATGACAGGAGAAAAAAAAACCAGCTAATTCTCTTCTTCCCACCTCCCATGAAAGACAGGGAATTTAAAAATGAGATACTAAAAAACAAAACGAAAAATAATCAACAAACATCCACAATTAAAAAGAACATTTAATACTCTAGAACAGACCTTTAAACTGAGCATTTCATTCCTCCTCTAATATCAGGAACCACAATAAGGAAAATGTCTGCTGCTGCTTCTTCAATCAATACAATCCCTTAAGAGTCCAAGCTTCAAAACATTCACATAAAATATTAGCGTTATATATTTGCAGTAGATAAAATGAACCAGTAAGGCAATCAATCAATTTTCAATTACTTGTGGCAACTAAATAAGATGATTGTGCACACACTAACAACTGACAATAGTCACCTAATGAGTAGGATCATGCCTTATGGTAGTCACGAGTCTCTGGGGTACATAATTAATAATAGCCATTCACAATTAGAAATACATATTTCCTCTTCTGTCTTCACAAAGAAAGTTTATTACATATAAACTGAGATGTGCTCATCACAAAACCATCCAGTGCAACTTCTTTTTGGAACGACCATACACTGCTTCTTATGGGGAGGGAGTTCATGAAATGCATTAGTAAAATTACAGGTGTAGCAAGAGTATTAATTTCTTTATTACTTAGTACATCGCACCATTTTTACATCCCAGTCGATGTGTTCTGAATAATGCCATACTTACAACATCAAACTTCTGTGTGATGTTCCCCTGGACATCAAGTAAATAAACTTTGCCATAATGAGTTCCCAGTGCCAAAAACTGTAAAAGAAAGAGACTGATTACGTAAACACAAAGACACCACAACTATAACTACAGCAATGCTAAATGAACTCTTGGATGTTTAGCAGATTAATTATTAGCAGCACCCAGGTTAAAAAAAAACCCAAAGCATTCTATAGACAAAGCTTATTTTAACCGTACCTAAAGAATAAAACAGGGCTTCAAGCCCATATTACTGTGATAGTGCAAGTTAGCTGTCAGAATGAGTCATGAGGACCCTCATTCACTGACAACTAATGGTGTGTCTGCAGTCCGTACACACTGCCTGATGGACTGTGGCAGCAAATTAAAAATGCAGCGTGAAAGCAAGGACTAACACAGACCTGAAATAATTTCTGGATCCTTTCTGCAGCTTTGTTCCAATCATAATGTTTTTGTTTGGGCTTTATTTTTTAATTCTTTGTCTTTAACATAAAAACAAAATGTTCAAACACAGCAGAAGGCCACTGGTAAGCCACTGGTAGAATACTGCTGAATTATGGAAGGTCTCTGACAGTGCATTTAAGCACACAGATAACCATTGGCTTTGCTTCCCTTCACGTAGTAACACTCCTACATTGAACACTCTCAAGACAAATACACTGTTCCTTGGAAATCTCAGGAGTTTCATTCTAAAAAATAGTAGCAAAATAAAGAAATCTCCACACAAATACATGCTATCACAAACTTATTTTGATACAAACAAGAAGGGAATTGATTCTGAGAGATCTGCTGTTAATTGAACCATGTGAACTACACCTAAACAGAAAAGGAAGAACTTCGGTACTACTTGATTTATGACAGAGGTTTCTTTTATTCCCCCTGCTTTCAGCATTACTCAAATAGCCTAGGCTTCTCAATTCTCTGTATTTCACTGCATGTGAGCATGCTTCATTGCAACCTATAATGAAATGCTCAAATTTACAGGCACTGCTAAGCGTGTCAGTCAGGCAGCACAATCTTTAAAAAATAACCTTACAGAAAGTCAAGGTTTAAAAGGATTTATCAAAATGGAATTGCTTAAAATGAAATTTCAGTTCAGGCACTTAAAATATGAAGCTACATTAAAAGGAGTCAAAAAAGGGAAAGAAGGAGTTCATTAGAAATTCATCCCCTGCAATGCCTTTCACTCCTGCAAGGTTGCCTTTTTTCAGGAAGAAAAAAGTCCCCCGGGTAAAAAAATCAATACTGGTTAATAAAACATCAGGTGTGCAGACATAACTAGGTATGACTATTCCACTGCACAGGCCTGCTTGAATGCACCAGGTGCCATGACGATTAGTCATCCAGTGCAGACAGCAAGCCTGGTGAAAATATGATGCTTTAGCAGGAAAGAAAAAAATAATTCTGGTGGGAAATTAGGCTGATACAAGAAGCCAGATTTTCAGGACTCCCAGCAAAGTTAATCAGAGGCATATTTTACATAGTACTGTATAATTTTGCTAATGATGACTCTTTAGAAGGGCTTTTCCTGCTCTTGCGGCAGGGGGGGAACAAAAACCCACCACAAAAAACAGAACAAAACAGAAAACACCCTTGCAAAACCTATAACCCAGCTTCATTTTTAAGCTCTCTGTTCTAAGAGACCTATTCCTAAAAGACTCCAGTACCTGGCTTCTAACAATATTGATCCTTCTCATAAATAGTGTATCTAGTTTGCTGGAAAACTGTAGGTGCTGGGATACTTAAACAGCTTTCCTGTATTGTCACTTTTTGTGACACTATAGTTAAAAGCTCTATTTGTGCACATCCTTATAGAAAAATCTCGTTTATCCTTTCAGCTTTCAAAATTTACCTGAGGCTCAGGAAAAAAAAAAAAAAAAGAAAAAAAAAAACAGGCCACAGACCAGGAGGAAATGCTTGCCAATTTTCCAAATATCTGTGTAATTCTAAGTTGTCAAAAACATTTTAAGAAGACTTATTGTTTTCATTCACACAGTTAAAATACAAGCCTCATCTTAAGAGCCTCTTAAGCCATGGCAACAGTCCTTTGAGTAAAAGAAACACAACACAAGTCAATCTAAAAATATAGCCAAATAATAGACATAGATCCCTCAACAATAACTGTTCAGAAGCTATTACTGTCTGTGAAAAATCATACATTCAGAAAACAGCTATTGTGTTTTACATACTAATAGTTACTTGACAAATCATTAATTCGTACTTTCAGATGCTCTTCAGCATTCCTCAGTATTTTAAAATGTTCTGCAGCATTTATAAAGGAGAAAACTCAGAAAATAAAAGAGCAATTGTTTAAATCAATTAAGAAACATATGAAGTTTCTTCCTTGTAAGAACAAAGGAATGATTCTTTGTAAACTTTCTTTACTTTGCGTTGTCCATCACTTTCTTACTTTCATTCTCTTGTATGTCTCAAACCTTACCAGTATTAGAGCACATGCACTCCCTCTCCTTGTTTTTAACATATTGGATCAGGGAAGGGGAACAGGGAAGCGTTAGTATGATACCTCCTCAAAAAAAGCAAGCAAACAAAAAAGAAATATTGTAAATACTTGCTTCTACACTGTACTAACAGAAAAACAGCTGAATATATTCCACATCTGAATATATTCTACGCTGGCCCCTAGCATGATCAAGTCTGTCTTCGGTGATTCAGGCTGTACAAATAACCACAGTATATGCCAATTTCCTTTCTGAATAAAAGAAAGTTGAGACTGTATCCCAATTCTAGTTCATAATACTGTCCATAAATAAAATCGAGTGAGCATTTTCCAAGTAGCTTATATAAATGTCCCATTTAACAAATCACTGCACCTTGAATTCTCACCTCATTTTCTCACTGAGAAAGTATGGACTGTCCAACACAGGTTTACCATGAACTTCGTTTACATTAGTGTTGGCTTACACTGCACTTCTAGATTTGGCAGCACATTTACACAGAAATATACTGATGCATTATAAGCACAGATAAATATATAAAATGAAGCAGAAGTTCCCTCTCTGCCACAAAGTCACATAATACCTTTTCATGCACTGTCATGCAGCTGGCTGCATCCTTCTGAAGAATTTCAGTCACTCCATTAGAAAGCCTTTCATACTTCAGCTTAGGTTCTTCTTCACTCTCATCTTCCTAAATTTTTACAAGTGTAAGGAAAAAGGAGCAAGAGAAAAAACAAAAAAATGTTTAGAAGTTTATTTTAAATAAAAACAAATTAAAAGATCCCCCAAAACAATCACACAGCAACAGGCAAAGATGGATCACTGCTATCTCTTAACAGCCATTGGAATCAGAAGCCAAACTTCCACATTTTTATCACTGCAGGGGGCTTGAGTTGTGCTTTTTTGTTATTAATTTCTCTTTTTACTCCAGAGTTCTGGGTGCAAACAAAGACTGTATTAGCAGCATATCAATTCAGCTGTAAGAGGCACTTAGTTGATATCTATAAAGCAGGAAAACATGTACATGTGTACTTTGTTACACAGTCATTCCCAATTCAGAAGAAAAATATAAAAGGGATGGATATGGAAAAACAGATGATGATAAAATAAAGTGTGCCACTGTAGCCACAGTTAACTCTAAGCTGAAGCATGCAGGTTACAAGAAACTTCAAGACCTTTATAAGATGCTGCACTTCTGTAGGAAGGATAGAGGCAAAATGCTGTAAACAAAAATAAAAAGAATCCACTAGGAATAAGTTAATTGTAATAAAATGCACCTATGTGTTTATGTTTAAAAAAAATATAAATATGTTGTTGCAAAATTGTCTGGGAAAAGGATCCGGATACAGCATATTCCTATGGATCACCTATATCATCTGCATATTAGGAACTTTTTCTGGTAAACAGCGAAGCTTTCCTTTGTTTTTCTTTTCAAGCATGTTAGGTATTATCACCCAATCGCTACTTAAATGCAAAGAAAGATGATGCATCAAGTGGCACACAGTGAAGAGAAAGGAGACAGAGCTAAAACACACAAGCGACAAATTCATTGATCAAAGAACGCCCAACAAGTTTATCTCTTAGGAAAGAAAATCCAAGGTGCAAAATAGCTCTCTGGTCGCAGGCACCTCTCTGTAACAGATGGTCAACTGAAGTACAACGCCAGAGAGAGCTTCCATAAGCTTCAGTAAGCCTCAGTTAATACTATACATGCACAGACATAAACAAACTCATATATATCCGTCGGTCCTCACTGGAAAACAGTACACCCACAATAATAGTCTCCCACACTCACTATTAGTTCTAACTAACATATCAACGTTGAGTGTTTCCCGCATAAAACATGTCTTTCATTCCTAAGCAACCAGCATGTACCAGTGCGGTGTTCTAGTAAAGGAGCCCTTTACTTCCCACCAGCCACTGCTTTCCAATCCCTAGAACAGAACATAAAAATGCACAGTGTCAGCCTATGGCAGAAGGACTGTATTTGTGCAACGTTTTCTGGTAGCTAATGATGTGAAAAATATACCTGGAAGAGAGACATGCTAATTTGTTAATAAAACATATTTTAAATTGCCTTTGAAATACTAAGCCAGTCTTTACCAAGTTAAATATTATGGCCATTTACCATGCTTGCTACCATCACACATGGTAATACATACACACCCTCATACAAAACACATAAAAGCCATACAGATCTATGGAAACACTCAATATTTAGCCCCATGCTTACATAAATACACTGCAAAGAGAGGCCCTTTCAAAATGGTATTTGAGAGTTTTACGACAGAATATAAATGAGATTAATATAGGGATGTCAGCAGTCCATGACGTAGCAGTCTGAAGAGAGGTGTCAGAATGTCCACCAAGAAACAATTTTATTCAGTAAATCTAACAATGAACAAAGTTGTTACTAGACAGGACTATGTCAGATTACAGGCCTGTATATATATATCAGCCAAATTCCTTGCACCTACAGATCCTTAATAAATGACTACAGGGTAGAGGGAGGAGATAAAGTCAAAGAAAAAAGCATACATGTGATGGAAGAAGGGTGCAAGGACATATGCGTCCATTTTACAGCAATTAATACATTACTACATTTTATACATTGCTTACAAAGACAACACTTGAAATGCATGGGCAATCATTGAATAAATTCATAAAAGTAAGAATTGAAATCCAGTCATCTAGATTTTGTAAGATCCATGTTGCTGGAGTCTTGACATCAAATGTGCAACCAACATGAAAAGTTAATTCTAGTCTCGAGTAGTTTGCATAAAAGCATTCATCCATGGACCATTAGATAAAGTTACTGTAAATAAGTTTTTCCTGTCTTATTTATGAGTGAAAACTAAGTAATTTTTCCTGCACACATACAAAAAATATATACTTTCAAAAGTCAGTGCACTGAAGCATTCTGCCAAGCTTCAAAAAAGTAAATAAAATTAAAACAAAATGTTGTACTTACAAAAGTAAATAAAATGAAAATAAAATTCCAATATTAGGCATGATGATGTACCCTTTTCATGCTTTCTTGACAGATATCTTTTACGTTAAGTAAAAATGAAGTTAAAAGGTGAATTGAAATGGGGTCGGGGAACCTTGCTGTAAACAAAATGGAAAAGGTGATTCGCAAAAATGCAAGATTTCTCTACTGCTTAAGACTCTACCTCACATATTAAATGTATATGATGATCTCTTATTCACAGTACTAGAGCTTAATAACTTTAAAGGTATTTTTCTATCAGGAAAAGCTTTTATGCCATCTGAACTTCTAAAGTAAACACAAGCCAGTGTTAATAAAAAGCAAATCAATAATTTTTGTTAAATTTTAATAATCTTGAAAACCTACAAATAAAACCATCAGCAGCCTGAGTTGAGATGACAGTTAGCTGTGTTTCTATGACAACCTAGAGGAATAGTACAAGTCCTGACTTGCAGTAAAGCTAAGATATAAACAGAGTGACATTTACCCCAGACAAGAAAACTCACAGCTAGCTTTTTTTTTTTTTACAGGGGGAATCAATTTCTCAACTAACATGGATTTTTCCTAAGTGTATAGCACTTTTAATTAAAGAGAAGTCCTTTAAACCATCCTAAAGGATTCTAAACATTTTTAAATAAATTTTATAGCACTGCTTCTTGTACCACCACTTAACACTTCTTCCGTGTTTTCTGCCTAAAAAAACCAAAACAAAACAAGCCCAACAACACTCAATTTTTAAATTCTTCACAAATGTATTAAGAAAAAAAGAAATGTATACTGCACAAAATGTGTAAAGTGCTCCACACATGGCAACCTTAAATTCCAAAAGGGAAGGAGACCCACAGAGCTGACAGGAGAAAGCTACCTTCATGGTGTTGCAAAATAAATAATGGCTGATTTTCAATCACAGGAATGTTAATTCGAAACTGATATTTAATTTTCTACTTGCCTTTTACTGCTAAAGCTAGCAGTCAAATTGCTAAAAATACAACTGTAAAGAACCTGTAAAGAACAAGTATCCATAAACATTTCCCACTGAAAGCACATTTCCAAGTGAATTAAATACTTCACCAGTGAGACCGATACAAATCCCTTCCTACTAAGAACTTTTCCATTTGTCACTGGTGAACTCCTGAATTGAAAACAAACTCCCTTTCCCACACCTAACACCTAGTAGGTGTGAAACTCACTAGCAACCCTTCTGGAGCAGATTTAAAAAGCCAAGGCGAGCTTCAAATGTGCAATAAGCTCCCAAAAGGCCAGTGCCACTGCGAGGGATGCTCATCCGCCTTTCTGAATGCAGGTCCACAATGTTCTTCAGATATTCTGCCCCATCCTTTCTAGCTTTGCCTACAGGAACCACTGCGGCAAAATCGTGAGTAGAAAAAAAAAAAAAAAAAATCTGAAATCAGTCCTCATGAAGAAAATTTCCAAAAGGAACCTGTGGGCAGTTCCCAGAATTATTCCGTTAGCCCACATTTGCTCCTGCAGCAGAGGATCTGCCCACAGGACAGTCTGTCACATGAACTACATGCTCTACTGATTGCGGATACTCTAATTATGTTACGGGCCTTGACAGCAAAGTGTCATCCTTCCTGCACGATTTGCCCCCTAAGTTTTTCAAAGCCTTTATGGAAATAAACGGTGCATACATTATAAGGCAAGTGCCCTTCCTCTTTGCTCATTTTCCATCCAGTTCCAGCTAGAATTCCAATCACTATAGGTGGCCATTCCAGCCTTGTTTACACCTGCAAGTTTTGACCCTGCAAAGCATTTAAACAGAAAATACTTGAGGTCCATCATCCAAGCAATTTCAAAGGAGCTACACTCACACTCTACTATAGCAAGGCTCTGGTGTCACAGGCCTTCCTAAAAGGCCATGTCTTGAAAAAAAAGACAAAACAAACAAAAAAACCACAGCTCATTTTAATTTTTTTCATGCTTGCTTTCAAGTTCATGTCATTTTCAGAGATTATAAGAAAAATGTGAAATTAGATCATTTCCTCCTAGCTTAAAGGCCACTAAAAGTGCTCTTCCTCTGTGTATCTGAATAGATAGTTTAGAACACATTGTAAGATCTCATTAAAAAAAAAAAAAAACAAAACACAAAAAGAAAACCCCACTCTGTTTCCAAACAGCAAACCCAACATTACTGCTAAAAAGTGAGAAGAGGCTACTTAGCAATTTGTGAGAGTTACTTTTCTTGACACTTAATACAGGCCAGATCTTTGGAAACCCACGAACCTATTAAGAAACCAGCATTTTTGTTTATTTAAACAATCATCATTATCATGCAGAAGAAAAAAAATAAACTATTCAGAATTCCAGAATTACCAGTTTACAAACTGTGTGAAAATCTCAAGTCGAACCAAAGAAATCAACTCTATTTATTTTCAGGTTAAAATAAAGGTTTGCAGAACATCCTCAGTTACACAAAAATTAATAAACACATCTTTAGTGCTTTGCTGAGGGCAGTTTCACTTACTACAGAAATTCAAAAACAAATGAAAAACAAGAAAAGACTTCAAGCCCCAGAATGCAGTCTCCTTGGAGAATTACTTACTTCTCTTCTATACATACAGAAGCACAAAGTCCAGCAAAATACCCAGCAGAACTCAGTTACCAAGGTCATCTCTTACCTTTTTGGTCAAATCAAGGCTGTTCCACAAATGTCTTGACTTGATCTAAAGCATAACAATCTC